AAAATAATTTGGTCTGTTATTTTCAATGTAAATGGCATTTCTTGGAATTGTTGAAACAATATTTTTGTTGCATATTTTTTCTTGCACTAAATTTCTGCAATTACGGCTCTCTATCCAAAATATAATTAAGAATCGTCAAAATTTGTGTCCCCGTCCACAGAAAAGTACTTGTCTTGTGTTGATATCAAAATTCAAAAAGCCAATATTACTAGCACTTTAGGACAAGACAGTTTCTACTTCAGTTACATTTTTTGTAAGCTGCTGTTTGAGAAGAATAGAAAACAACTCGTCAGAACTCAAAAGAGAAATTTCATTGATAGCCAAATTGCCTCTTCAATGGAGAGCAAAGAAAACATAAAGAAAACCTAAAATTCAGAGCCTATCACATAATGCAAAAATAATGGCTCTAATGGATTTAACTTCCTCATCAAGACCATACATTTCATTTATCATAGTCATGCTTATACGTAATTCAACAGATAATCTAACATAATCTTTATCGTATAAAATACTTAAAGCATTATGAAACATTTTTGTAAGTTTTTTTTAAACATTTTCTGTAGTTTAGAGTAGGGCAGCTAATCATCATATATACATAGCTACCATTTGGTAATTTGACTAGTCTAAAAATATTTAAAAATCTTTTATCGTTTCGCAAATCTTTTTATCATTTTATGTCTATCCTTATGATGGAAACAAAAAGCCAATTGATTGATCACAACTAAAGATAAAGTTCTACTTATTTATATTTATGAATGTCTGGAAATATATTATATCATATTTCCAATGATACGGTAGAGAAAATAGTAGCTACATCAAAAATATTTGAAGCAACCATCATTCGTATTTTTGTTCTGAATAGAGATAACAAAAAATGTGTTTAACTATCATAGACATTTAAGAATAATAAAATATTTGCAAACTGTGTTACGTTTTTACGTGAGAATGATAGTAAACTAAAACTTGAATGCATGTGTGATAAAGAATATTTGATTGACATTAAAACTAAGCTTTAGGATTGAGGGAAATGATAAAGAAAGAGAGGTACATAATTCAACAAATTGAAATGGGGCAAAATCATCAAACATCAATACAGAAGTCATTTTAAAAGCAAGGAATGCATGCAAAATAAATGATACATTTTTCGTCTCTTGTTTCTTCTGTTACAATTATTCAATATTGCAAGAATATTTTTGGCAGATGGTAAATGCCTTTAATTGTCTGAAACAAAATATTTGAAGAATTAAAACTTTTGATACTTCAAAGTTGAATTCCTCTATTTAGTTATTTAAAGTTTTTTTACTCTAGCAATTCTATCGAAATGCTCATAAATTTCATTGAATTCAAAACTTATATCATTATGAGAGTCCAACTTCTCTATACGGCTGACAGATGTTGTAAAAAGAATATCATGTATATCATGTAAAATGTAAGTCGAAAATTTTGCTCTGAAAATGTTTAGGGGGATGGGGTCAGCAACCATTAATGTGTCTTTTTTGTCCTTATTTTCTGCTTTTTTGAGAGGGAAAGAGAATGAATAAATTGAAATAAACTAAATTCATTAAAAACATGAGAAATTAAAATCACGTGAAATGGGATGTATAAAGATAATTACCTAAGAAACTAGCCTTGTTTGAATTTGATATACTTTAGAAAGTTTCATGTTAGGTTAAGTAAAAAAGGGTAAAAGATCTTATGATGAAAGATAAAAATTGAACAAAAGTTGCTTATAGACAATACTCCTTTTTTGGCTTTATAATATCTTATCTATGAGCGGAAACTAACATCTGCAGTGCACATTTTTCTTTTAGTTTATAGAGACACTTGAAATAGTTGACCAATTTGAATAACGTCAAAATAAACATATTTTTTCCCGGGGTGTTGTTATAAGGAATTAAAATAATTTGGTCTGTTATTTTCAATGTAAATGGCATTTCTTGGAATTGTTGAAACAATATTTTTGTTGCATATTTTTTCTTGCACTAAATTTCTGCAATTACGGCTCTCTATCCAAAATATAATTAAGAATCGTCAAAATTTGTGTCCCCGTCCACAGAAAAGTACTTGTCTTGTGTTGATATCAAAATTCAAAAAGCCAATATTACTAGCACTTTAGGAGAAGACAGTTTCTACTTCAGTTACATTTTTTCTAAGCTGCTGTTTGAGAAGAATAGAAAACAACTCGTCAGAATTCAAATGAGAAATTTCATTGATAGCCAAATTGCCTCTTCAATGGAGAGCAAAGAAAACATAAAGAAAACCTAAAATTCAGAGCCTATCACATAATGCAAAAATAATGGCTCTAATGGATTTAACTTCCTCATCAAGACCATACATTTCATTTATCATAGTCATGCTTATACGTAATTCAACAGATAATCTAACATAATCTTTATCGTATAAAATACTTAAAGCATTATGAAACATTTTTGTAAGTTTTTTTTAAACATTTTCTGTAGTTTAGAGTAGGGCAGCTAATCATCATATATACATAGCTACCATTTGGTAATTTGACTATTCTAAAATTATTTAAAAATCTTTTACCATTTTGCAAATCTTGTTATCATTTTATGTCTATCCTTATGATGGAAACAAAAACGAATTGAGTGATCACAACTAAAGATAAATTTCTACTTATTTATATTTATGAATGTCTGGAAATATATTATATCATATTTCCAATGATACGGTAGAGAAAATAGTAGCTACATCAAAAATATTTGAAGCAACCATCATTCGTATTTTTGTTCTGAATAGAGATAACAAAAAATGTGTTTAACTATCATAGACATTTAAGAATAATAAAATATTTGCAAACTGTGTTACGTTTTTACGTGAGAATGATAGTAAACTAAAACTTGAATGCATGTGTGATAAAGAATATTTGATTGGACATTAAAACTAAGCTTTAGGATTGAGGGAAATGATAAAGAAAGAGAGGTACATAATTCAACAAATTGAAATGGGGCAAATCATCATCAAACATCAATACAGAAGTCATTTTAAAAAGCAAGGAATGCATGCAAAATAAATGATACATTTTGAGTCTCTTGTTTCTTCTGTTACAATTATTCAATATTGCAAGAATATTTTTGACAGATAGTAAATGCCTTTTAATTGTTTGAAACAAAATATTTGAAGAATTTAAACTTTTTTAGCTTTTTAGATTTTCTTTATTTTAGCAGTTCTGTCAAAATACTCATAAATTTCATTCAATTCAGAATTTATATAATTATGAGAGTCGAACTTCTCTATACGACTGACAGATGTTGTAAAGCAGAATATCATGTATTGTTTAACGGCCTTCATTTCTGTAACTAGACGACATGTAGTTACAGAGAGGCCTGCTAGTCTGTTAAACACTGCGGAACAGATTATTTGGCATTTAATTTTGCTGGCTTAGTTAAGCAATACGTCTTTCCCATTCATCTGGTAAACTGAGTTAACATGAGCAAATTTGAAATCAACCCATTTTAAATTTTTTCTAAACCGCTCTTGGTGAATTTCATATATTGCGTCATTTCCTTATAGTGGACATTGAAATGTTTTATTTCTTTCTATGCTTTCGTTTGCTAGAAACCTTACATCTATTTATTCACAACACGTTCTAGGCGGATGAACTCTACTTATATGAATTGTTGTAAACATGACTTTGTAATGAACAATTTGTCTAATCTATTGCAACAATATCCAATCATCATAAATTATCTGAAAGCAAACGTGAACATACTTTTGGAGAAGGAAGTTAAAATGTTACATAATTATAGAAATCAATACTTGATTTATATACCAAAAAGTTTAAGAACAAATGATTATATGATTATATTGATGATAAGCCTTTCATAAATAAAGTAAATGTTTTACTACAAAAGCTTTAAAGAAATTAGTAATCGTCCACCTTCTAATAAATAGAAAATAAAGATGATATCAAGCTCAACAAAAGCGTTTCTTGGGACTCTCATAATCCTGTCTATTAGTGGCCAAATAGTAAATGGTAATGACGACATATCAATCTGCAAGAAAAGCTTAGAGACATTAAAAGACAACGTGAAAGAATGGATGGAAACTTGCGTTGATAAAAATGGCAATGACGATAACACAACTCCATGCAAGGAAGTAAAACAATACAACAAAGAAATGATGCAAATGCAAACAGAAATGTGTTTTTACAAAGGTATAATCTTTAGATTTGACAAATATTCATAGTTTCTTGTTCATAGCACCAAAAACAATATTCAACAAAAATAGGTAGAAGTTGTGCAGCCAATCTAATTTCAGTTATTAGTAATATTTCTACAGTTAATAATTCTTTCTAAAAATACTTATTCTGGTCTTTCACAAAATATTATGATCGTAAAGTCTATAAAAATTTGCATTTTTAAATCCACTTTCATCGTTGTTATTTATAGTTTTTTTATTATTTATTTAGATGTTTATCCAAAGCCATATTTGATTATTATGAGCTTTGATAAAATATACTCTGTTGATTCTATTACTGGAGATATTCATGTCAGCACTATTAATGGTTCCAGTAAGAATAAATCTGACCATGCATCAAGATATAATGACATAGAAATTGATGTAGTTGAGAACGTGCTTTACTACATTGATGACAAAGACATAAAACGGGGAAATCTAGACTTGACTAGAAACGAAATTTTTGCGGAAAATGTTTCTGTTCATGATATTACAGTTGACTGGATTGGTCGTCGTATCTTTTACATTGACTCCACGAACATTATCTACCAAATTTATTTGAAAAATAAAACTACAAGTGTTATGAGGCTTCAACCAGGCTTACAATTTTCCAGCATTGCATTTGATTCAAAACATGGGTAAGACGATATTGAAATTCTTTTTATTTACTTGTAAGCGTAAAATTAATAAACTATGTCAATATATTGGAGGGTTTTCTTACGTAAGGTAAGAGTTTTTGTTTTTAGAGACGGTGTTTTAATTTAATAGAAAAGTTGAATTTTATAAGTCCGTATTATGGTTTGTTATTTAAAGGTTTAATAATAGGAAAAAATATCGATTTTCCGGGGAAATCAAAACTCGCTTTTTCCCAAGGGAGCGAATGTTAAGTATTTTGTTGGCTATAAAGAAACAAACGTCATATAGTTCGACAGATTTTCATTAAAATCAACGTCTTTCGGAGAGATTTGGCCAGCAAAATTTTGTTGCGTGATTATAAGGCATTTCAAACCAACTGCAATAATGAACACGTTTCGTGTGATTATTCAGCACGCATGCAGTAGAAAATAAAATCCAGATCCTGAAATTTCAAAAATCGACAGCGATATTTAAGTTGAGCAACCAATGAGCTTTTAAAAAAAGGTAACAACGGAGGGATCAATGTTTATATATGATGAAGTCATTAAATGAAATAAAACAGAGCGTTAGAAACTGAAATAAAATATGAAATAATTACTTTGCACATAAAACTTTAGTCAAATACTCACAGAACCTTGGCTTTCCACAACCTACAAAAAAGTAGTACAACTTCACTGTGCAACTTAGTGTTGTACATTTAATTCCATTAATTGTTTAGGCTGGCCACCTAAGAGCGCTTTTCTATGACAGAAAATGCAATTTGCTTGACGCCTCCATGGTAATCATATGCTTAATAAGATATGCCCTACATAAGAATTTCAACAGATTGGGAGCATTGTTTGTTGCTATACTGTGCTCTTTTGTATACTTTTGAGGCAGTGTAAGGATGTGCAACAATCTCAATACGGAATGGCAATAAAGTTTTAAAATATTCACGAATGTGGTGAACGTAAAAACTTCAACTTTTCGTTTTGTAATGAAGATAAAAGAACTACACACATTCCAACGTAGTTACATGAAAAATATAAAATGGATTTTAGTTTTCAAAATGTGGCAATTTAGAAAAACATAAAATATATCAAGTTTATAGTTTTCAAGCCTTTTAACTTGCATTGAATGGCAGAGTATATTGAAAAGTCAAGAGCTGCAAATTAAGTGGCTGCACACTTCCTTTAATAAATTCAATCACACATCCAATCAAATCACCTGAATGGAAAATCATTTCACGACCTTTAGTTCATGCAGTGTTTCTTAGTGTAGCTTAGGCAAACGTTAGGTCTGTAGCTGCTCCACTGATGATGAATCTGAAGATAATAATCATGTGATTAAAAAGAAATTGGCTTAAAAGCCTTGTGGAGCGAGAACTTTCTGAATATGTTATAAATAATTTACGACTTAAAAATAATTTCCTCTTCTAACGATTCCTATGAACTCTCCATTCATGAGAGCCTTGTAATCAATAAATACAAGCCTTCACTCTTCAGGCAAGGAGGTTCCATTCCACTTAACCTCTCTTAACTTCACTAAATTTTACTTCCCAACTTCTTTATCATGTAATCCATTTAACACCGCCTCCTTTAGTCGTAATTCAACACCTTTTGTAAATACAATATCTTGTCTTAAAATCTCATTATAAATTATTACTTGCCTGAATATGTCTTGAATAAGAACGAAATGTCAGTATAAATTCAATTTTACACCTTTTGGTCTATTTCTATAGCTCTAATTAAAATTTTATGTTAGGCATTAATTGTTATCATATTACAAGAAAAAAAATTAGTTTCACGAACACAAAAAGCCAAAAGAACGGTAATATATACGAGAAAGTTTTTAAAGAGTTCGGGGCAAGTAGCAATGAACGACAAGAACACATGGACTTGTAAGAAATGTATTGGAGAATGCAAATATGCTGCGATGATAATCAAAACTACCAGTTGCATCAAACATTTTCGATAAAGTAAAGGCCATAGTGTTCAAGCAGTTTTTGCAGCTTGTCCAATCCAAAGATTATAAAAAACACGAACATGACATGGCGATAGAGTCATCATTTTTAAATGATAATATTATAGCAATCCAGTGTCAATCTTCTTCTGATTGACAATGAAAAAAAAATATTGGTAAAAAGAGAAGGTTAAGATAGTTATAAAAATCGTTTGTCCAAACAAACAGAAAAAAGTATCAACAAAAGACAATGTTTTTGAAGCTATAGCTCTTTAAAACATTTGTGGATGATGATCCATCCAAGGAGCTGCTAATTTTCATGCAAGATGAAACTGAAAAATTAAGAAAGCTTAAAATTGAAATGACAAAGCTTTAATTTTTATATCTACATGAAATGGTGCATATCATTTACCAACACCAAATTTTCAATTCGAACAAAAATTCCACGCATCAGCTAATTTTCAGCATCAATTACCACACCATTCAGCAGCCACTCCAAACTACAGCATTACTCATTCCGGCAATAATCTCAAACAATACCAATCATTATAGAAGTTATGTGAATAAAAATAACATATTACATTTATTATTATGCTCTGAATCACATGAAATGCTTAATTACTTCATATATTTTAGTTCGGTTTTTAAAAGAGAGATTTCAAATGATAAAGATGATCTTTTCCTGTTAGTTACAATAGCTTTATGTTGCTATCTTATCAAATTTTATGAATATATTCCATTAAACCGTCTATAGATGAAAGTAGTTCTGAATACTTTGACAACATCTTTGTCTAAACTAAAAAAGTATTCTATCTTTCCTTTCTTGCATATATTAGCCTGCCAATTGTTTATGTATTTCAGTACGTATAGAGAAAACTAATGTACAAAACAAATATTTTTATTAAGGTATCTATTCTTGGCAGAAAGTACAGAACTTTTCTTATGGTTATGGAGCGTGAGTGCAAATAAACATCATATTCTTTCAGTTTCACTTCAGTCAATAGCACATGATCTAACGCTTGACATGGCTAAAGAGATGATTTATTGGCGAAGTTCAAACGGAAATATTTTTTCCTATGTTTACAACTCCCAAAATGTTACTGATTTTGGAACATCACGAGGTCCCATGGCAGTATTTGGGGATTTCATTTATATCATAACTAGTGTTGGACGAAGTGTCGTTAGTGTCCATAACACAACAGATCTACGTACGAGACGTAAATATTTTCTTCCTGCAAACAACGCTTATCTTGATTTGGCTGTAGCAATACACAGTATCACTCCTGACTCAAACGGTAGGTATATATTTACTTATTTGACATAATAATCTAAGAATTGCAAAAACTCCCACGCTAATGTTCATAAAATAGAAAGACGTTAAAAAGTTCAAAGTTACATTGCCTTAGTAAACGGTTGTTCTTCCTTCCAAAATTATAAAAAATTTGATGAACATTAAGTTCAAAGTGCAAAGTGTCTAATTTGGACATTTTTGCCGTTTGTCTATTCTTATCAAACTTCTTGGGTATTAAATTTAAGTCTTTATAGTTTCTTACATCATTTAAACAATTACTTGGGCTGGAAATCAGTCTTAAATAACAAAAATCATAAAAATAGATTGAAAAACGTCCAAAGTGAGCATGTTTTGCAGTGAGCTTAATATTTATCAAATTTTTTAAAATTTCAGTATATTGCAAAACAGAGTTTAAATTTTACATCTTTGGATTAAACTAGATTTGAAACTTTTCATTTTCTTTGTGCATGTTTCAAATTGAGGCGATTACGAAGTACTCACATGGTTTTGAGATTAATTTTTTCATTCATTTTACTTTAAATAAACAAGGCAAAGCCATGCCAAAATATATGAGCTTTGAACACATTTTGTGAGAACTACTGATGAATTGATAATTTTCTGAACATTTTTCAATTATCTAACTTCTTTAGTATATCCCTTATAGTGTCCCAAACAGCCAGCAAATTTGTTCATACTCTGTAAATTTTCAACATTTATTTGATTGTTTTGTTTTTACGAAATGCGCGAACACCAAAATTACCAACATTGCATAACAAACTTGCTTGCTGGGTACGTCAACGTGGATACTGAGTGACAAATTGCGTTCTTTGAGGAAGAATATGTTTCGTTTAAAATCCATGGTTAATTTTATTTTTAATTTTATTGATCGATATAGCGACAAGCACTTTTCACTTTCCTTTGTGTGGACCCAACACACACTATCGTAAAATTAATGGAACATTGAACTGCACGTGTATGGAAGGATACTCAGGAGAATGTAACTCGTGCAGGAGAGGTATGGATTTATTACTGTCTTTATCAAGATTTTTTATCACCGATCATGAATAAAGAGCATCTCTGTGCAGTTTTAAAACTTTGTTCTTTGTTGAGAATCCTGAGCTGTTCTCTGTGCTGTTGCTTCTGTGCAAGGAGTTTGCTGCATCTACATTTTACATGTAACCACAAAAATAAGGCTCACAGCCACACATACAAGTTCATTATTACCAATACAATCAAGCAGGAAATCAGTAATAAATTTATGAAAAGCTTCAATACACTTAAAACTTCCTCAGCACACAACATTGAAAGTGTATGGTTCTCTAAATGACAATAGCATATGTTAGCATTAACACATTTTGATTTTCTCTATATTAAGGAGGGGGTAGGGTAGGGTTAGGGTAAGGGTTAAGGTTAAGTTTAACACTCCTCCTGAAGTTAGTAATCTAGCCATGGCCCTGCTAGTCTAGATACACCATATTAGACAGTCTTGAATTTATTATTAGTTGGCTTTCCTAAACTAAGAATTCTGTAAATACAAACTTTAAAAGCATTTTGACAGACATGCTCCAGTTCCAGACCTCCTAGAATGAGTGCACCTCAATAATATTACATCAAATGTCTTCAACCAATGGATTGTAGCTTTATGAACTTATTCCAAGAACAGACAAATATGGCCGTTGTCCGATTACTCAGTAGGCTATGTAGGCTGAAGCTTACATCCCAAGGTTTTAAAAGACCTGTTCTTTTAAACATAGTTTTACTCTTCCCATTCTAGATGAGATAAACGATCAAAATTTCAATAATATATCCTGTTAGAAACTGTACGATATACTATTATAATGCTCTATGTATAGAACTCATAAAGTAGTGAGTTTATCTCGTTCGAAATTTAAATTTATTCTATAATGTTTACACTATGAGTAACAAAACTGAAGCAAAGGCAATGGAGCATAAGAAACGGAAACGTCGTCAAAAGACTGAAATTTTTGGGAGAAAGTTATATCACTTAAAGTCCCATAAATTTTTCTAAGCTTACAGGCTGCGCAATTAGTCATACGCCGCTTAGTATGGATGGTATGCACTGATAATGTTCATTCATAAATACCTTGTTAACTTTCGATGTAAGAAAATTAGGTTTTACTATTAAGAATTCACTTCCTTTAAAAACCTAAATAAGCAATATTTTTAAGAGGTACAATAAATAAGGTCAAAAAATGTATAAAAATAATGTGTAATAACGTTTTTCAGTAGATGGCATTAAATTTGTACTGGGTTTAATAAAATTTCAAATGACTTTCTTACTATTCAATTTAACGCTATTAGAGTTAGACTGGAATTTTCTATTCAGACAGAAAAAAATTTCATGTAAGCACACATTACAATGAAATTGACTTTATATTCTGAAATTGAGTGCATTAAAAACAGCATCCCCACTTCAAATGTAATTCACAGTAGTCAATAATATCGATATCTTACATGCAATGCTTGTGTTCTGTAGGTTTCCAGCCTGTGAAACATGAAACAAGCAATTTTTTACAAATAATAATAATACCTAGTAATGATTTCATTTGCTTAAAAACACTTTTTCACAAAATTCAGTCGTTTATCCTATCATAACATAACCTTGAGAAACTGAATTTTTAACATTTTCAATTTAAATAGCCAAAGATTGCAGTGAGGTACAAAATAATGGCAATAACGAAAGTGGAGTTTATCAAATTAATCCTGATGGTCAGGGTTACTTTAAGGTTTTCTGTGATATGAAGTCATCTGGTGGAGGTTGGACTGTGTTTCAAAGATGCCTAGATCGAAGTGTTGATTTCTATCGTGGCTGGAATGACTATAAAGAAGGTTTTGGTAATCTTACTTCTGAATTTTGGCTTGGATTGGATAAAATATACCGACTAACATCTGCAAGGAGAAATAAACTTCGTGTAGACCTGGGAGACTGGTCAGGAAAGAAAGCATATGCTGAATATGATTATTTTGCTGTAAAGAATGAAAATAAAAAATATCAACTAAGTCTTGGTAAATATTCTGGTAAGTTAATACGTAAATATAAACGTTTGAGGAAAAAACATTTTGATATATACAATATTTTTGAATGATATGAATGATTGCAGTTTGCGATGGGGGATTCTCCAAGTTTTGATAAAAACGGATAGTAACGGTTGGTTTCGAACTAAAGCCTTGTTTGTCAATAAAAGTATAATTAATTTTGAACTTAAAAACTTACCGAAAAAATACAACAAACAAACATAAAAAGTCGTTCCAATTTGCGAACGATTCTGTTGCAACGATTGATTGCGACATGTAATGATTGTGATTAGCTTATCATCAACATTAAATGCAAATTCAACTGCAGCTTTGTAAATTAGGTAATGATAACCTAGCACATGAACAACATGTAGCAAATAAACACGATTAAATTATTTGGTACATAAGAGAGAATCTATACTGTGAATATCATTGTCTAATGATCATTGACTGAAATCTTTGTTACACAATGCAAGCATTCAAGTAAGCCCCTAGTAATTAATTGTAAATGCAAGTTTCAATGCCTAAATGATATTTACATTATAACTTGTTCTTACATTTAAATGTTTTTTATGAACTTATAACAGCAACCTAAAACATAACAGAAATTTATTTAAGTTTACATGGCCAATTCACATTTATAAGCATGAAACACAAAAATATATCAATTGAGCCTCGGAAAATACCCAGGTACGCCATCAAGTAAGGTCTGTTTCATACGTAAAACTTTACATACACCGAACAGAGCCCTCTATTTGTAAGAGTTGGGACATGTATTGTTCTCTGGTTTGCGAACGTTTACTGGACAATATCGATCACATGATTAATTTCCGCCATTTTTGTTCCTAATTTTAAAATTTCAACTAGTGTTTATATGGCGATTACTACAAGTTTGTTTGTGTTTTGAGAAAATATTTTGATTTTTTGGAGGTATGGCTACAATAATTGATTATTTGATAGCTAAAACATGTAACTGCATACCGCCATAATTATGGATCAAGAAAAAGAAAGAAATGGCTTACGATAGACTGGATTGTGTAGCATATTGTGTCTAACTGATCTTTATCTAAAGGTTTATTTACGAAGATTGTTTTCGAGTGAAAATCATTGGAAATATTTCTCTAATGCTAACGATTAAATAGTTTTCTTACATACAAAGCCTGTTCTTATAGAAAGATTATGACTTATCATTATGTTCGGAAATTACTCTAATTTACAAGTTCTTAACCATTTCAAGAGATAATTATTGCTAACCATATAAATAATATAACTTTCGAATATTGTATTTTGCATCTTTAGGAATCCTTTGAAAGTATAGTATCAGTAATCATAATAAAAATATTTACTGAAACAGCTGGGTAAAATACATTAATGGTAATGAAATACATTCTGACTGTATCAAACCAGAGCATGTTCAATTTATCAATGATTTGTTCTGGTCTTTACATAATTAATGATTTGGTGTGGTCTTTGGTCTTTATAATTTGGAAAACATGCAGAAGTGTTGTCATTACTGAACTTATTATTTTTTTAAGATAGATTAAAACTTGGATCAGATTCATATACAATGTGAAAGTCTGTACAAACAGTGACATTTGTAGCAAATAAGACTGTTCTTCAACAGCAGAATTGTTTTATAATACCCAAATGCTTCACCAAATAAAAGCCTATACCGTTCTGCATTGCAAGCAATAAAGAAATCAACAACTTCACATTAAATTAATAGAATATTAAAGAGCCACTGCATCTAACAAATATTTTAAATTCATAATTTTCCAGGAAAAAACCTTTGTAATTTGTCTGCATTAAATTTTTATACCTGGATCTCATTGCAATATATATACTACCTAAGCAAAGTTCCGTGACTACAGTTCTTCAAAACAAAACTTTGTCCAACTATGGATAAGACTAATTCAATGGTAGGCACAGTTTAAGTCAAAATAAATTAAAGCAGCTCTATTGTAAATTCAAAATACTTTTAATTTTAGAATAAGATTATTAGTAATGACTTTCTAAAGAATATATTTTTACCAGTTAAGTCGCCTCTACGGTTTCTAAATGTAAATATAACCACAAATGAGCAGCAGTGATTTATTTTGACATACCTTATACCTGCCAAAGCATTGATTCAGATCTGGATGTATGTGTAGTAACGTGTTTTCCCGGCCGAGAATATGCAACCAAAATGTCGAGTATTTTCTTTATCGCTGGTAAATTATAAGAAATGATAACAAATATCTTGGTGCTGTAGTTGAAAACTGCGAGAATATACGTTCACATACGTAAAAACGTCTAGCAGTGGGTCACGATTAGTTTCAAAGCACGAACTAGTCAATATCGAATATAGCTAAAATCTGCAAAATTGAGTTTGGTTTGCAGTAATTATTCACAATAACGCCAAAAGCTATATTGTGGTTTCCGATATATTTAAAATTTCCATTAAACAAGGCTGAATTGCTTTATTCTTATGCTCATTAACCAATTTCACACAGTTTTATTACAAGTTTAACTTGCAAGTAGTCACGAAAATGGCGGCTCCGCGCTCGCCCCAGACCCGTTGCCCTCAGAGCCCTCTATAAGAAAGAGTTGGGACATCTATTGTTACCATTGAGTTCTATAAGACTTGGAGGGGAAACGTCATCAAAATTAATATAAATTATCAGCGCGCGGCTGCGTGGTCAAAAACATGGCGGATTTTGGTTGTCAAAGTCAGCGGAAAGACGCGGGCTCATTAAATAAATTTTTTTTCGCCCACCCGGATTTGACAACCACAATTATGATTATATAAAATTTCAATGCAAAGCACAAAAACTTTTTAGAAATTTTATTTTTAAAACATGTTGCAAACTTGTTTGGTATACGGATGCTGAAGAAATGCCTGAAAAGGAAACATTTCACGACACCGGTAAGCAACGTAAGATTGTTTACTATTTAAAGTGTTCAGTGTTATGTTTTAAGTCAATACTTGAAGTGTGATGGAATATATTTTGTCAATGTTTTTACTCCTAAGTTGTAATTTAAGTTATGTTTATTCAGTCTTATTTGTTCTTTACTTAATCGCTTGCTAGAGGAGGCAAAGCAACCAATTCTTATCGAGATATTCGTATCTTAAAACCTCTTGTTTCAACTGAGTTTACCTCCAAGAAATGAAGGATTTTTTCATATTTTTCCGAAAATATGAAGCAAATATTAAGAACAGAGCTGTATTGAAATCAAATGCAGTGCAGGATTAATTAATTAACTCTTTGGTACATGTCGTACAATAAAAAATACCTGTACAATTTGACAGATTATGGACTATCATGATGATGGTGTGTAAAAGTTTGCTTTATGCTAACAGTTTTAAATGCCATCTGGTGTTTCTGTAAATGAATTGTTTGTTATAAAGTGTAGTAAACAGGTTAGTACATCAAAATCAAGATAAAAACTACTTTGTTCAATAATGTGCCAAATTATGCTCCTACCTTGAAATTTTGCTCAAGAAAAGCTTATAATGACACATGCATGGAACATTAAATATAGTATTGCATCATCTGACAAAATCCATACGTTTTTCAATTCCAGGTGATTAAAAATTCACATAAGATGCATTGGTTGTAATGAAGTTGAATGAGGAAGAAGCAAAAATTGATGGCAAAGAACTTTTTATGTCTTATGAAGAATTACGATATTATTTAAAAGAATAAGAATAGCAATCTAGTAAAAGAAGTGCCATTTGTCTTCAACATGAGACTTTTCCAATTATGTATAGTTTCTTTATACAAAATTTACTTCATTCTCTTAGAAAACTTGATTTTAAGTCATTCAATGGATATTTTTTACCTAAAAGACAAAAAGAAAAATTCAAGCATAATGTAAAAATTCAAAGTTTGTCAAGTTGTTTGAACCTAGAAAAATGAAAAGAGGCACTAATACCTAAGGACACAAGATAAAAAGTAGTGCAAAAAGGTTAACGCATTTTGAGTATTAATATGTTGTTCTTGACATACATTACACAAGGCCATAATATTATAAATAATGACTGTACCTAACAATTATACAACATAAATATCTTCACCTACATTATAATTATTTAAACAAGTTTGCCTTCATGCAGCAATAAGAAAAGTGCTATGTCAGAGAAACCAATGCACTTTAATTTAAGAAATCGTATTTTCAATGGGAATGAAGTTCTGTTCAGTAGTAGATCCATGGTTGTCAATGACAATCCAGTTTCTAATATCTTCGCTCAAACAGAACCAACAACATGATTATAGAATTTCTGAATTTCGTTCTTTTGCTCTTCTAGTTCAAGATATTTTCTTCATAAGTTCTCAATAGATTTATCAGAATATCATAATACCTTATAAGACACCCAGAATCAATCCTACCAAAAAAAATAAAAAAAGTGACATACCTACTTATAATATATTTCCAGTCGACTTAAGTCGTAAGGGTAAGCTAAATTTTTCTAACTCCTTTTTGGACGTTTTACCTAAGATTTACCCATCAAGAAAAGACAGTTGCACCAAGCTGTTAACAAACAGTCGAAAAACAGAAGCAATGCGCATGGGATTATGCATTAAAGCTTAACGACAGATTGACAGTGTAAAGAATGCCGTTAGATATTTATTTCTAATATAGCTAAAGCATTACTTGGCAAAATATACGTTATTTTACAGTAGATTTACCTTATTTAAATGTGTGCGTCTTTTTCACAAAAACCTGAAGCATTATTTTCAATATTTTATGCTTACGGTATCGGGGTTGTTTTCGCTGGTTGTCATTAATACAAGCAGGAATAAAGATCCGGATTCAGGAGGGAGCGAATGTTAAAAATTTTTCTCAAAGTGGAAGTTTTGACAACCAAAATCCGCCATTACCGCCATGTTTTTGACCACGGGGTCCAGGCCCCTTATCCCCTCCAGTAATTATAGAGCTCAATGATTGTTACCCGTTTAGCTTACGTTGATTGGGCAATATTGATCACCTGATCAATGTCCGCCATGTTGGTTCCTAGTTTGAAAATTTGAGCTAGTGTTTATATTGCAATTGCTGCTAGTAATACAGTATTTCGAGATAATATTGCGTTTTTTAATTGATAAGTACGTAATAACTGATTGTTGAAGGCTACTAAATGTCATTACATATAGCAAGAATGGAGGATTACGAAAAAAATGAAAGAAATGCCTTTACGTTGAACTTACGAAATTTGATTGCGTATGGTGATTGTTGTGCTGAACTGCTTTTGATATAAGGCTCAATTAACTTGACTCCAAGTAGAGGCTCATTTTTGGGCCAAATAACATTGCAAAGTTCGTGCTGATGCAGTTTCAATAGTTTTATTACTCCAAAGCTTGTTTTATAATCGAAGATGATTTCATTTATTCTGAAAGGTCAATTCCACAAACCTCCTCAATTCTCAGCCACTTCCACACTAAAACAACTACACCAAATCACAGAAACCTACGATTTTCTTTCCATGTTGTATTTTGTATTTTAGTTCATCATTTAAAACGAAGTATTATAATTAGGATATTCACTGAAACAGCTTATACAATATATTTTGGTAATGAATTGTACAAATGTACCCTACTTCTGTAGCTCAAAGTAGAACATTACTTCTCTTCTAGACTTTTCAATGATATTTTAATTGTACGTTTTGGTTTATAAGATCACAGAGGCATATCTCCATAATTTCAACGAAGAACATACCCGCCGCCATCAACAAACGTCTATCATCCCTATCATCCGACAAAGCATCATTTGACCAAATAACTGCACCATACCAAAAAGCACTCGACGAAAACGGATACCGATACACACTAAAATTCGACTCAGACGCTACTACCAAACGGAGAAACAGACTCCGACAAAATATACATTGTTACATTCCTCCATTTAGCAAAAACGTCTACAGGAACATTGGCCACAAATTCCTTTCATTAATCGACAAACACTTCCCATAGACCATAAACTCAGGAAAATATTCAACCGTAACACCATCAAACTCAGCTACAGCTGCATGAACAATATCGAACAAATAATCAACAATCATAACAAACATGTACTGAGAACATCACACAAAACTATTGACAATACCGTGAACAAAAAGACACATACAAAAACATGCAACTGCCGACAAAAACAAAACTGCTCACTTAACGGAAACTGCCTACAGTCATCCGTCGTCCACCAAGCTACTGTGAAACGCAAGGACAATAACACAACTGAGACGTACATTGGACTTACAGAAAACGAATTTAAGACTAGACATAGAAATCACACTGCCTCTTTCCGCCACAAAAAACTACGAAATTCGACCGAACTCAGTAAGCACATTTGGACACTTAAAGACAGCAACATTGACCACGACATCTCATGGAATATCATCACACCCAGCAAACCATACGACAGCACTAGTAAAAGATGCAACCTTTGCCTCAAAGAAAAATTCTTCATCTTCTACCAACCATCCAAATCATCCCTCAATAAAAGCAATGAACTTGTTTCCTCTTGTCGCCATAGATCCAAAACACTCCTATGTAATTTGTAACTATACACCTTAATTAATACGCTAACTTCCGTCATCCAACTTGTAACTATACACCTTGATTCATACACTAACTTCCATCATCTTGTATATATATTTTAAGCATTTAAGTATTTTATTCATTAAATCCCCTGAAGAGTGAGCAATCACGAAACAGGCTTGTCAGGATGAATCTGTAGTTTTGTACTTTTTCTCAACACCACTAAACATATAATATATTTATACATATATAAACGTAACTGAAATTCATTCAAACATAAATATAAATTAAGTCTCGGACAACACTACAGGTATATCATCAAGTCAATAAAGAATTTTAAAGGTCTAATATAATAAAAATTAAATACCATTCATTACTTAATATAGGAGTAAGAGCAATGATATAAGGCTAGATGTAGAAATAATGTTCTGGAAAATGAGAGTAGGGTCAAAGTAAAAGTCTTAACAAATTTTACCTTTGCAATTTATTTATTCCATTTTGAAACAGGATTTACAGCAAGTTGTTAAATAAGTCAGCTACAACAACTTTATGACAAACGGTAACAATATTATAATGTGATTGTGATTGGATCTCCCACATGCACTACAATATGTAAAATGAAAACTCAGTGTTGTATAATATATTTTAATACTTACATCAGTAATTCCTGTTGAATGTATGAGTCTAAACACAATTTAATTTTCCCACAAAATACAATATTTGTTGGCAGAAATTAAATACAACATTTCAGCTTGGCTAGCCCACCTCACATGAATGCGAATACAAATTGGCCCGGCAAACTAGCTAGTACGGCTTGAGCGGGCTGGCCAATCTCATATGAACAATTCCTAATGTTAAAGAAATGTATCGTCTGAAATGTCAACCGCAAGAAAGATAATTTACAATGCATTCGACTTTACATTCAGACAATATACAATGCATTAGCAAGATCATTTTGAAGAGCAGGATATTCAGTAACTTTAAAGACAATATTTATTCCTCAGAAAGATAATAATTATCTGAATATTATCTACAAGCATAGCTCGTATTTCTTTAGCCCGTCTAAAACGTTGCATTTTACATGGGTCGAACGCATTTAAAACAAAAGAGAATGCGACAAAATTAGTCATCTATGTTTGTTTTGAATGCATTCGGCTCATGTAAATGCGACATTTGAAACAGGCCTATGACTCGTTTGCCTTTGTTCGAGCTTTTTCCGCAGGTGCAATCCGGTGAAAGAGTATAGCGCAAAAGAGCAGATTTGTAAATTTAATGATATGAAGAGGTTTTCTGCAAAAAGCATGCAAAATGTAAGCCTTTAGCAAGAAATTTATAAAATAACAAATGTATAATGCGTAATTTTGAATGGTCAATGGGAGGCTTGAACTGGCAATATAAAGACGGAATTTTAAATTGCTGTGCGTTAATTTTAAACATGTCTGAGAATGAAGATGATTTATTGTTACTCATGACAACTTCTTTGAAGGTTGGATCGCCATATCTAAAGACTTGAATGTTCTTTGCAAAAAGGGTAAATAACTCATGTTTTAACTTTCTTTTTATTCCTGTGTGTTTGAATCACAAACACGAAAAAAAAATGATTAGTAAATACTCTAACATAATATAAATGCATCATTAAATGCATGGAATGCTGCGTATAAAGTTTATTGTGAATAATGACAGAATGATTCCAACAGCCTTGTAATCAGTTTTAAATACAAATCACCAGAAAACTGTAGAACTATTTCTACTTTTCAGGAACTGCTTGGGATGCATTATCCGGGCACAAGAACATGAAGTTTTCAACCAAAGATTCAGATAATGATATATATAGTGGAAATTGCGCTACTTCCAATAAAGGTGCTTGGTGGTATAATGATTGTTATTTCTCCAACCTAAATGGTGAATTTATGCAATGGAGTGGTTTTTATGACTTGAAAACCAGTGAAATGAAAATTAAACCATGAAGACTTTTCATAAATATTTATAATTTCATGACAATATTCAGTATATCTTTCAACACATCATGTAAATATATGTTTGTTTATGAGGAAATATGCAAAAAAATTGTGTTAATTTCATGAAGTAATAAAAAATATTGTTTCAATCAATGAAATGGAGAAAATGTGAGTTTATCTAAATGAAGCTGATGTCATAAAATCATACTCAAAATAACTGCAGTTTTTTTAGTTTTACCATGTTGTTAGCTGCCTTCTTTAAAGAGATATTTTGTAACTATTATACTTTATTCTTCATGGCATGATATGGTTTCTACATTTAATAGAACTTACACGTTTATATAGCACGTCGTGTTTTTTCAAAATAAACAAATTATAAAAACTAAGGATTGATATCTGCTTCCACTTAAATTAAAAATTTGCAAAGAGGATCGTCATGAATTAGTTGTATTTGCTTTATTAGCTTCTTTGTACTGTTAGATGCAAGACATAGTGAATAAAATTCGTATATCTTGCACAATAAACTTTATTCTTTATTTAGCATCCTTCCTTAGTTAAGTTCCTTTTCTTTACAAAACCTTTTTCCTTACTTAACCTTCTTCTCTTTACAAAATCTCCGGCCTTACTTAACCTTCTTTTTTTTGCTAAAGTTTCTACTTCACTAAACTTTATACTTTACAAAACCTATTTCTTTACTAAATATCAATTTTACTAAAATTCCGAGAATTATTGCTCTAATTGACCTTCAAATCTGACCATGAATTAAGCACCATGTAGTTTCACCTGATTGAAAGCTGTTCTAATTATCTAATTTTCACATATATTGCTTACCTATCTATCTTTAAGCCCAATGCAGCCAAGTTTCTTAATATCTGCAGACCTTTTAAAAAAAACTTGATGTTTCTTCAAGTACACCAAAGAAGCTGATAAATAAAACAAACTTGGTAGTAAGGCAAATAGTAAGAAAAATTCGCAATGATAGTTTCACCTTCCTAATTGAAAGCTGTTCTAATTATCTAATTTTCCAGAGATATTGGCTTACCTATATATCTTTAAGCCTAATGCAGTTCATGTTTTTTTAATATCTGCAGACCTGTTAAGAAAAAACTAGATGTTTCTACAAGTACACCAAAGAAGCTGATAACTAAAACATTAGACTCGGTAATATCATTATCATTGCTGATTTTTAAAGGCAAATAGTAAGTAAAATTCGCAATGATAGTATATGTAACGCATTTAAATGCCTGTAAAGAAAAATCCTTTAATTTGTTTTCGTCCTTAGATTTAATCAAAAAAGTAAACCGGACGACACAAAATTTAATGACTGTAATCTTTGGAAAATCTTTTCATTTCAATATCGTCAATTAAACAGAAACACATTGCGCGCTACCTAAATGATTTTCGTGATTTAAAATTAACACAAAACTTCATCCTTATGTTAGAGATATAAAAAACGCTTCTTTTCGCTCACATCACATCCAAAATTTTATTTCACGATTTTTCAATTTTTTTCCTTTATGGATAGTGGCGTAGCCATCCCTCGATTTATTCATGATACGTAATTTTTATCATCAGCATCATTCGTTTTATTAAAAATTCATAGTATTATGAACAACAAAATGTTTACATAGCAAGAAGAAACTTGCGGGTTTGCTACGTCACTGATCATGTGATAGTTTCATGTACGTATATCTTTCCTCAATTTCTTATGGGTCAAATTAAACACTATTCCTGTTAATCCTATCATGTAATTTAATGCAATGTAATTTTTTAATTAGATTTTTCATTTAGCTAGTTGTATCTAAGACTGTTGAAGATGTCTTATGTGTCTCGACAAAAAAACGTCTTCAATAAAAAAACCTTCATGCTACAAATTTATTTTAAAAATGCACGCTTTAAAATATATAATTATTGGGCTTACCTCTTAATGATGGTCCATTATATTTTTATAGAAGATAAAAGAATGGAATATGCCTTATTTTTCTTAGTATAACTTACAACTTAGCGAATGTAAGCTACCCATAAGAAACTGAGCATGACAATTAAGGCTTCCTTTGTGCAAAAGGGAAAACGTTTTTTCTTGTTGAGTCAACACAAAGACAAGTGTTTCTCAAAATACATGAAAAAGTCGATGCTTCTTTAAAGAACTACAAAAAACTTTCTTACTGTTATTAAAAACATCATGAAAAATAGCAAAAATATACCACCTAATGTGGAAAAGAATATTTAAAGGCATTTGACTTCACTGCAGCCTTTAATGTATAAAATATTGGAGCAAATTCGCTTATTTGACAATAAGCCAGCTAGGGTACAGATACAGTGCTTAGACCATCTATGACAAATAATCTATACTATAAATTACTGATTTAATACCATTTGATTTGGATATGGGTTAAGACGAAATATCTTAATTGCAACCTATATATAGCTACTCACTTCCAAGGTATAGAGATAAGTGGTCAATCAAGGTGAAGCTCAGATCACCTTTCAAAAAATGTTCATTTTACTTGAAAGGAGCTCCAGTTAACAAAAAAGTTACATTAAATATATAAAATTCATAAAATAATCTTTAATGTATAAAAAATGTTGTTTTTTTCTTATTTTGTGTAAAAATATTACGTTATTTACTAATCATAAACCTTTATTGATACTACTCTCATTCAGTTGTGCTATTTCAATCTTTAAGTTCAGGAACAAAACTACAGTGTTTATGAAATTATATATTTAACCATTGAAAGATTTAATTAATAAATGCAGAGGGATGTATAACAAATGCAAATCCCTTTTTACTCCTATCTCTTAAATATGTTAGATAATTTAAACTAGGCTCGTAAATTAGATTGGAATATGATTAACGGAACAATCAGAGGCGTAGCTAGAACGTTAATTCGGGGGATGAAATTCAAATTACTTTCAAAAGAAATCAGTAGGGCAAAACGGAATATATGAGTATGCACCACCCCACCACCCCACAATTAACGTTCTAGTTACGCCACTGGGAACAATACGATAAATATATTTTGTAGATATTAAAAGACTAACTTTATCAATTACTTTGAGCAGAATAGCAATGTTCAGAAAAGCAGTTTTTGTTCAAACCTCTTTTATTAGAAATGTTGAGTCTATAGTAAAATTTTATACTAGCAATTGTTGATGTATAACTGCCACTTATTAATTAAGATTTTTTTGACAATATTTTTTCCATTCATGCCCTGACTTGCTGTCTGCAAGTCTGTGAAAATTTGCACAACAGTTTTTTTCGAAATAACTACATTATAGGTGGTTTTTGTGTTACGTCATGGCCGCCATGTTGGTTGTCAAATACAAAAGAATATTTCATTCATACTGTTTTGGGCACCAGTCGTCGTGGGCAAGCTACGTTGTTTGATAATTCCCTAGAGGTTAGTTTATCCCTAACATTTTTAACTATATAGTCTATACAAAAAGCAAGGCTGCCATAGCGATGGTTTTTAGTATTCAACTTTATTAAAAATTCATATTTTTTGCTCGGTAATTTCATGGTAACTTGGATTTAGTTCAAGCTTACTGAGTTTTGCTCTGTTGTATGGTCGTCCAGATTTTACAGTGAAATGAAAGGCTAACAGAGAAAGATATAGATTGAAATGTGAGGCAATCTAAACTATTCACCGTAAGATGAGGAAGATAAACTCTAGAGTTTAAGTTTCTTGATATCATTTTCTGCATGTGCGGCGTTTCAAATACGTTGCTGTTTCTATGAGGCAAAAACTTGGCTTTTTGGAGTGATCGAGAGGGCAGAAGTCTATATGACATTAGTCAGTAGTCATGACGCTGAATGTAGCTAACGAGCAGCTTGACAAGATTGTGGAGCTTGTGAATTTTTTCTTGTCCTTGAACTCGGAATATGATTATACTTCTAACGTGAGTGATAAATGAGTGTTTACTAAATACAGGTTTTATGCGTGATCTCCAAGAAAAACAATCATTATGAGTCTACGTACGAGATGTATCCAAATACTTCCCATCAATACCAAGCGTATAGAGCTGTTTCTAAATAATTATAGCCAGCGAATTCTTGAAGTTATGCTAAACACATCTTGCAAACTACTAAAAGAACACCAACTCAGTCAGTAAATTTTCTTTGGCGAGCCATTTAAGAACATGTCTATTTGGGAAAATGTCTATTTGGTCATAACTAAAATATAAAGCATGTGTTGGAGCCTAACTCACTCATTAAATCGTGGTATGTTAGATAATCTTGTCTGGCTTGAATAAGTAAGATATAAAGCATGTGTTGGAGCCTAACTTACTCATTAAATCGTGATATGTTAGATAATCTTGTCTGGCTTAAGTAAGATATAAAGCATGTGTTGGAGCCTAACTTACTCATTAAATCGTGATATGTTAGTGTTAAGAATATTTAGGTAAAGAATGAAAACATCCATTGATTGATTTGGATATATTTATTATAGTTAACAACAACAGCGTGTGCGCAAAAAAAGCAGTACGAACAGAACAGAATATATAATCATCACATGACATACTTGATCATTATAGCATGACTTATATGAAGTTCTTCAACACTCCCACTTAATGATCATACTATAAAAAGTTTTTTTTTTTTTTTTGATTGATGTCTCTAACTTGGGAATTACTTAATTTTCTTGACTCCCAACATATCTCGAAAGTTCTCAAAAGTTTTTCTTGGTAGAGCTTTTGTCATAATATCTGCTAACATATTATCTGTCGAACAGTATACCACAGACATCACATCACGATTGACTTGTTCACGGACAAAATGAAAAGCTATGTCCACATGTTTGGTTCGATTATGGAATTTAGGATTTTTTGTAAGTTCTATTGCTCCCTGATTGTCTTCGAAAACTATAGATGGTTCATCTTGCTGTGTTCCAATGTTTGAAAGCAATCTTCTCAACCAAACAATTTCTTGGCTTGCTAAACTTAAGGCTATGTACTCGGCTTCAGTGGTTGATCTGGATACTGAGGTCTGTCTCTTAGTTCTCCAACTGACAGTATTATTTTGGATTTGAAACACATATCCGGAAGTTGATCGTCTGGTCTCAATATCACCTCCCCAGTCTGCATCAGAATATCCGGATAACACAGGATCTGAACTAGTAGCCGTGAATAACAAACCATAATCCAACGTTCCCTTTAAATACCGGAGGATTCTCTTTACACTTTGCCAATGTACTACGCTCGGTCGAGACATAAACTTCGACAAAATTCCGACTGCCGATGAAATATCGGCACGAGTAGCAGTAGCTGCATAGGTCAGACAACCAATTGCCATTTGATATCTTTGAGTCTCCACTGGTGTCTCATCTTTTGACAATGACTCAAATTTCATTCCAGTCTCCATCGGTGTTGTGACAGGTTTGCATTGGTCCATCCCAAATCTCTTAAGTATCCTTCCAGATATTTTGGCT